ACCAACGTTTCAGAGGTCATACTGCCTCCATCATCAGGGCGATGAGTATGAAGATTTCTGTCTTCTGGGTTGTTGCGCTGTGTAGTCTGGTCGATGTTTACCAACGTTTCAGAGGTTATGCTGCCTCCATCATCAGGGCGATGAGTATGAAGATTTCTGTCTACTGGGTTGTTGCATGTGTCAGAAACTGTGTCACACTTACGAGATTTGTTCCGTCTAATGAATTTCTGATAATGTAAAACAGCATTCATTCCTTTAGGAGTTCTGATCGACCTTCACGTCCCTGGCTCAGAAGATATGACGTCGCCTCAACCTCACTGTGGTGCTTTGAATCTCCCGGCTGTACAGTACATCCTAGCAGCCAGATGGGCTGCAGAGGTAATCAACAACCAGTCAGTTTCTCAGGGAATTAAAATTGGTAAGTAATTTGTGACTTGTTAAGATCTGATGAATGTAAATTTCAAAGAAATCTGACGTGTTTAGAATTTCATTACTGATTGGATTTTGTTTTTCTGGATTTACACGTGGAAGGTTTCTCTCTGTACACACAGTGCACGTGCGTGCACTCACACAAACAGCTTTTCCATTACTACGGGCCACGCTTGCTATTCGTAACACAAAAGAAATGAATAAATTATTAATGTCGTGGACAGTAAGGAAAATTGTTTCCTTTCACTCGCAGAGTAAAAGCTGGTATTCAAATGATAGTTCTGCTACCTAATGCATTTCTGAAATTCTTTTTTATATACGTGCTGTTTTAATTTCAGGAATTGAGTTATTTGATACGTGTGGCTTGAGAGAAATTGCAATGAGAGACGTGTTTTTTGCTGTGAAGAATGCGCTGGAGCCCCGAGGAAAGCTGCCTTTACTAGGTAAAGAAATTGTGGTATTCAAAGTTTCAAAACAGTCGTCAAAATTTGATTTTGAATTTTTTTTTTAGAACCAGATGAAATTTTGCATTAATGTAAATTAGGGTCACCAAGATGAACAAACACATACAAAGACTGGAGGTTTGACAGACTGACCAGTGACCACTACGTGCCCAATAAGAATTTTTGTGTGTTTACAAATTACAGACTTACTTTCATATTTTATTTTCTTGTGTAATACTGAAAGGTTTCTGGACAAACATTCTGAAACAATTTTGTTTTCTCCTCATATCTGTAGGCCTAATTGGAATGGGTGACCCAGATGTGGTAGGCGAAACTGTAACAACTCTTCATGCTTTCAACATCCCGTTAATATTAGCTTCACCGAGATTGGCAGATTCTGTAACTCAAGAAGGAAACATATTGACGACAGCGCCGGATATGAGTGGCGTGGTGAAGGTAAGAAGTTAGCTGCTAAATCCCTGCTAGGAATTCGTTAAACGCGCATGCGCAAGAGATCGCGGTGAGTGACGACCGATCCTAAAAGCATTCGTTCCACAACCACTGAACGAACAACAGACAACAATCTTTCATGTGTTTTAATGGGTACAGCTTTAAAATTACCTCACAGAGGCACAGCGATTTAATCTAGAATATTATCGCAACACCCGCAAAACACATTAGAGGTGCACTCAATACACGCTACTCGTAACTGCTTGATGCTTTCAGTCTGTGTTGTTGCGTAAAACTCTGACGTATCACACTTCCCACCATGAATAATAATAATTCATAAATCTCTCTTCTGTTGCAGCCCCTTTTGACAGTGGGAAAAGAACTAGGAATTACGTCAATAAATCTCATTTCATCATGCTCGCACAGCATTAAAAAGTTTGGACAGATTGCCACGGAGATGGGTATCCTGGTTGGCCGGATACTACAGATTACTAAACATTCAAATGTCATCGGGGATATTGTGAAGAAATTTCTTGAAGAGTTGGTAAGCAAGTACTTTTTGAAAGGTAATATCCTGCCTGTAGTTTCACGTGTCAAACTGCACAGCTTAGCTGAATTTCTTTGTCCCGTATCTATGAAACAATAAACCAACAATATGCAGTTTGACTTTCATTAAAATTAAAGAATATCTCTGAAATAATTCTACATTTGTATGTTGTACGTGACAGAATTTTTAATTATTAATATATTCTAATACAGTTGCAATAATATCAAAAATGAATTCTACATTTTTATGAAGATAGCATTGACCATTGTTTATAATTAATTTAAACATTTATGGCAATAATTATACATTCGCATGATTAATTTATTGTAATAAATTATTTGTTTTTAGGAACCGAATGAAGCGATAGCTTTGATTCTTGATCCAGAGGAGATTTATGCACTAGCTCAACACTTGAGAAGCTACGAATTACACAACAGCGTGTTATTAACTGGAACAATTGGCCTTGACAAGAACTTACTCAAGTTATGGAAGAACATTTTTACTGGAGGTTACCTCATAGAACCTCATATGCCTGAATTACCAGACTTCAGAAATTACTTCCTTTATAAACTGCAGGTAAGTAGAGGGATTTAGGTCTAGAAGCATTTCTTGTGCCATTTTAATTTCTGTAGATTCTGTCGTTTGAGTCCAAATCAATCAACGATCACCGCCGCTAGTCGGTCTACCACGTGCACCGTATCGAAACAAGACACTCACACTCTGCAATTTCATCTAGTATAGTATCTGCGCACAGAATCACATTATTTACCCTTATCATCCGTCCTCGACTGACACAAGTGCTGTAACATTATTACCGAGTCGCTCTTGATCGTGTTTTGCGTGATTTCAGACCGCCTCGACTAACGACGACACGCTGGTACATGAATACATGGAAATGATGTACCCTCATCATCCGTCCTTGACTGACACAAGTGCTGTAACAATATTACCGAGCCGCTCTTGATCGTGTTTTGCGTGCTTTCAGACTGCCTCGACTAACGACGACACACTGGTACATGAATACATGGAAATGATGTATGACTGCAAATGGGGCTGGAAGAATGATTCTCAGAATTTTGCAAAAGACTGTGGGACACTACAAGAGTCAGAACTGTCTAGAAAGCTCGAAGTCGCTCCTGAGGTAAGCCACGGTTAACTCCTCACTTGCCAGTGAAGTGACTGAGCTAATGAAATAGGTTCTGCTACGCCTGCGACATTCATACTGGGCCATTTCTTCTTCCTTTGAGGTTATGATGGGGAGTGTCGGACCACCATTATCAATATTGCTGTATTTTTCCTGCTTATATGAGCCTACTTTTGTTTATATTTAATTTTTACATTTGGGGAGATCGAAGACAAAGGTGGTACGTTCATCCGAAACATTTGTAATCGCCCACAAGGCTCTGTCATCACAACCCAGAAACTACAGTTGACGACATCGAAATAAGACACTTTATACGAAGTTCTGCGTTAACTTAAGTGTGGACAGAGGCCGCAGAATTGGACACTTATCTGAAATCTTCCTTCAGATCGAGTCTTGCGCTTGTAACTGTAACGTTATTTCCTCCTACGTACAGAAATAAAGTTTAAGATTTATGAGTGTTTCATTTTGATACTGAGTCTTGTCCATTTTTGTATCAGAATGCTCTATTTTCAGGTGACGTTTGTCGTGAAAGCTGTCTCCGCATTTTCCGCGGCCGTGTTTTTAGTTCAGGTGGAGAAATGCCAGGGGCGCAACTTGTCTGAATGCTTACGTACTACAAACATCAACCTACAGCAAGAGATTTTGTCAGTGCTGTCACAGCTTAGTTTCACTTCGCAACACAAGGCTCCATTTGAGCTCCAGGGGACAAGTATTCACGTTACGCACGACGGACAGCTCATCTCAAACAAATATGTTATTTTTCACATTCGAGACACCGGAGATGTCAGCGGGGTGAGTGGTAACTACATATGCAGCACTTATTTCATGGCTTGATGATGCTTTGAGCCAAGCTTGATGGGCCTTGAACTTAATAATCTACTTGTTTGTATGAATGCAAATGCTTTATTAATTTCAGATTGGGTGGTACTCAGATGATCAAGGGCTGGTTCTTGATCACAATGCTGGATCAGTGATGTTGCATTTCTTGAATGGCCGGAGGAAGGTCTCGAGCAGTGAGAAACAGGGCAGAGGATATGAAGCAGACGCCTTCCCAAAAATGAAAGAGGTATTTGAGAAAGACGGGATATTGGCCAGCCTGCAGGATGCTGCTGTCAAAGGCATTCAGGTGCCAGCGGTGGGTAGAAACGTCAAGTTCGCAGGAGAAGACGGGTCGGGCGTGAATGTAATACGAGTGACGCCCGAGAGTTCTATCACTCGACCGTGGGCCACGGTAATGGTGGCCGTAGCGGCCGTAGGAACTTGCATAACCATGTTCATGTTGGTGTACGTGCTCATCAAGATATGTGACGGCACACTAGCAGGAAATCAGTCTCTTGGCATTGTCCTCCTGCTTGGCATCATGACTCTGTACGTCAGCATCGTGCTGTTTGTACTTCCTGCCAGCGAGATGCGATGTATTCTAAGAGCATTCCTCCATCCCATAGCGATGAGCCTCTGTTACGGCATTCTCATTATTAAATTAATGCAGTTACGTTCATTGGTTTTGCTGGGTTTGGGTGGGAGAATTTCATATATTAATCAGTATATCATTTTATTTTTTATTGTCTTAGTTCAAGTAGTAATCAATGTACAATGGTTCCTAGCAAACAGACCCCAGTTCAGAGTCGATTCTGAAGGTATTGCATATTGCTTCATGCCTCGAACAGATTTCCTTCTGCTGCATCTTTATGTTACAATTCTCGTGATAATCGCTTTCTTGTATGGACTGTCTGTCCTCAAGATCAGGAGAAACTACAAGGAGGGGCACTGGGTAACATTGGCCGCGTTTCTTACGATGCCAGTGCTCGTGGTCTGGGGTATCGTCTGTTCGTTTGTTCCCGAGAAATATAACGACCCGACTGTATGTGTCGCTCTTGTCGTCCTTGCAACAGTTTTGGTATTAGCTCTTTTTATTCCTAAGATGAGTACCATTTCAAAACAGAGCTCACATTTCAAACACAAAAAGATGCACATGTCTGATTCTGTGACGACGGTCTTCACAACATTCACGAACTTACATAATTCATCCACGTCTGGCAGCAGGAAGAAGGGCGCCCGAACACCTCACCGACAGCAGCACTTCAATGCCGGCATGTTGGATGCTTATGCTGACAACATAACCAAGAACCCCATTTATGAAGTCACTAATGGTGCATATCCTTGATGAAACATACATTCTGCAGTTAATCTTGGTAGACATGGACGTTCTAGGTCCTTGTTCTGATTTAGTTTTATAAAACATACAGTGATAGTATTTATTTATTATCATGGAGGAAATTAAATTTCATACCATGTAACGATAAGTGTCACAGTACTCATTCAATTGGTATTGTTTGTTTCACCAAATATCAGGTGTTGTAACTGCGGTTTCTCTGAGCTAAACAGTCACTTTCAGCAGTGCCATAGCATACCTCATTCAGTATAATATTAGACTAGATGTGTCATACCGGTCAGTTGTATAATTTCACTGCCATGTGAAATAAAAGATCGCAAGTTACATGCGTCCTAAGAATGTGATTTGTTAGTTGGGAATTGAAGTTCCATTTGAAGGATATTTCCAGTTTAGATTTTATCTTGTTCATAGTAACGGTAAACCCTTATACCAAATGACAGCGAAACTGGAAACATTGACAAGTTCAAACAGGTACATGTCGGTTTCTTCATTGGGTTTTTGCACTATATATGTGTGTGGCATACCGCCAAAATACCACATGGCACGACAACCCAGAAGACCACTGTCTATATTCACATCTTCGTGAGAAACTCAACTCCTACGCAGACTAATTAATTGTTTTTAAAACAATAGTTGACTTTTCTTGTAAATTCTTCATTTTCTTGCTGCTGTAATTTTTGTTTGATAATGTGACACGGTGGTCCAGCGGTTAGAACGCTGGCCTTGTAATCCTGGGGTCTCGGGTTCGATTCCCGGCGGTGCCCGAATTTATAACTTGTGTTGGGCAAGGCCGTGATCTAGGCAACACGGAGTTCTCCTCCGTGGCATCCCAACAATTACTCCATTCACACACAGAAGAAGGCAATGGCAAACCACTTCTGGATCATCTGCCAAGAACGTATATGAACAGGTCCCAGTCCGAGAAGAGAAAAGGATGGAAGGATCCTGTTCATATGGACCTGTCGTCAGACAGAACACTAAATAAATAAATAAAATAATGTGACAAAATATTCTAAGAAGTTCAAAGTTACTTGAAAAACAAATTTCAATTGATCACATCATAAAATTAATTTGCTTAATTGTGAAAATCCAATACCACCATCCCATTACATTTAAATCGGAACAAAATACCGTAGGAATGTTGACCTGCTACCCATTGATTTAAATTGTTTATGAGCATATATTGGTCCCACTGTTCTTGCTATGGCACTGCTTATAACATCTAAGTGATTGCGAAGCAAAGTTTAATTTACAATATTACCGAATGTGATTAAAACAACGCAGCGGGAGATTCAGACTAATATATAACTTATATGTAACATTTAAATAAATGCTGAAGAGTCTGAATAAATAGTTGCAGTTTGTGTAAGAATGTCTCTAGAGGAGAGTAGAAAGATTATAAAATTTTAAACTTGACAACTGAAATCTTATATTGAAAATAATTTTGATAACTTCACATTGATCTTATTTCTTAGTACTGCTTTGTCATGTAACTATAATGAGGCCGCAGGAATTCTCATTGGTGGCGGTGATAATGGTGCTCAAGGCCCTCGTCTAATTCACGAGAATTCTTTCTGTAACCTCAGTATAATGTGTAAAGCTATTCTCATTCAGAATATTTATTTCATATTCAGTTACAAAAATTTATATGAACTTTCTTTTTTCACATCTGCAATATTGCAGCCAAAGCAAAATGTGGACAACGCAAACATATGCTGGAAATTTTCATTCAAATTTTTGTTGTTTTGTTTTAATGAACACTTTTACTCCCCCCTGGAGGCCCCCCAGTTTGTATGTTTCAGGGTTCACTTAGAAGACTAAGAACTGAAAATACAAATAAATGTAAAAAATTGGCTGACAGACTTCTTGCTTAGTGGCACACATTACATTAATATCTGGTGGCTAGCAGTCGTTAATGTACAGAAGTAATCACAGATGTAACATTTTACCATGAAATTCACAATGCTACAGAATGACAGAATTTTTTTTGAGTTAGTACATAAAATGGCTGACACAAGAAATATAATTGTAAATGAGTACACACAACCTTTCACTGAATGATGACATGTAGTGAAATATGTAGCGATTTTAAGTTAGAAGTTTCAATATTTGAAGGAGTGTATATTTTCTTATTGTGTAAGTAGTATTTTCTAGGCATCAATAAGAAAATAGTATGATATGCTAGTGTGTTAATCCATTTGAGAATGTCCATATGATACGATTCACATTACTATTGAGTTTTATAAGTCATGTATGCTATAAATTGTATCTTTATGAGTAGTAATCTTCCGATACGTGCTAGGAGAATAGTTCGTAAGTTATAAATGTAAGATATTTCTGTTCATGTATATATCAGGTAGTGCAAGTTATTTAAGTGAGTTTTTCATTTTAGGTTTTGCAATTAAAATCATGGATCATCATTAAATAGATAATACATAATTTCTCCACAACAGACTCACTTCTGAGGTTCATGAGGCGTAATGGAGGTTGAGAAGTAGAAGTCCTCGGATTTGTGTGAAGAATTTGGCAAAACTACTGGAAAATTTACTAAATACTCTGACTTTGAATATTTTAAGTTACCTTTAAAATAAATATTCAGAGTATAGTTTAGTTTATACTTGAACACAAGACTATGACAGAAATGTGAAAATACCTGTGCTAATTTGTTGATGTAAAATTGGTTGTTTCCAAATTATTCTTTTAGTTCTTTATTTTATTTTTCATTTTTTTGGAATCGGAGTTAGTTTCCCCAAATGTAAAAATTAATCATGACACCTGACCATATTTCATACAATGGATATTTTGAATTAACCCCTTCCCTGATTAATTTTTGTTGTTGTTTTGTTTTCACGTCTTCACGTAGTTCCTGACACTGAAGACCATCGATTTTTGATCAGGGTTACCTTCCTGCAGACAACTTGTCCCTTAGGACTACAGGCATCATCCCTTATCCATATGTGCTCCCACATCAGAATTATAAGTCCCTCCTTGCCCTACAATTTATTGATGTATTGTCCCTGTGGAATGAAGCAACCAACCTATCACAGAGTCACTCAGCGTAGCAGGGTCGCTACATGTAGGTGGGCAGTAAGTTGGTTTGCAGAGGCCAAGAGCTGGAACTCACTCTCACCTCTTATATTACGCATATGATCTCATTCCTCCAAATTAATTCGTATGTACACTGATTTAGTATTTATTTTCAAGCATTGATTATATAGTATTATAGAATGTCTATAAATGCTGTGAAACACTTGTATTTTTATAATAGATCAGTATGAGTGGTACTTCTCACCAAAGTCTCTGGGTTTAAAGCAAAGTTTGTTTTTATTGTTTATTATGTTCAAATAGGCAATTAAAATTTAGATCATAGTGATAACATAATATGCCATTTGCTTTTCTAAGTCACCATTATTTATAATGTATCATTTAATCTGAATTTATTTCATTTGTCATTTACATATGAATATGGAATTAATGCCATGTAAATGTGTATTTTTGTTGGAACATTAAAATATAGTATGAATAAATGTGAAAATTCTTTGAAGGGTCAAGTTTAATATTTTATGCATTCTGCATGAAAGTTTATCAGAATACCCCATGGGCCAGGTGGTTAACGGCTGGCTTCTTACCGTGGAGGCCTGGGTTCATTTTTAGGGAAGTATATGTGGGACTTGTTTTAATTGTTAAAATTGGCTGAAAAAATGCGTTAACGTTTTGGCTGGAGATGGGAAGCGTCGTGCGCCGCTGATGTTGGTTGGTGATCTTGGACCACATTATTGAAATTGTAATTCCCTTGGTTGCTCAGCTAACGTCAATGTTTACGATGTAGCTTACAGACGCCTTTGGAAATTTAGCGTACTCCACTGAGTACACCTTTTTAATTTTTTTCGGTTCAGCTTATGCAATTAATTTATATTTTTCGAATTGTCCCAGGAATTGTATTTCAGACGATATGAGACTGTTATAGCCATTTACTATGCAATCCGCGGGTTTAGTTGGTAATGGAAAATATTTACTGTCATATTGTAATTTTGGCGAACCTTGTTCCTTGGTTGCTCTGTTCATTTGTTTTTATTTTCGTTATTAAATCGACGGATTTACTGGCATAATCACTTCATAAATCGTTCTGAAGAAAATAATGTTTTCTTTGTGGTTTAATAACGAAAAATAACCGAAATAACGAGGTCTACAACATTGTTTACAGGAGACCAATTGTCACCAATTTCCATTATTGATACCAAGTTTCTCCCAACAATTGTGCTAATAAGTCTGTGCCACAGTTATAGTACGCAGAAAGTGATTGTTATCTGTGCTTCCTACAACGTAAAATGATGTAAAAAGTGTAGTTTGTTTATATCCCCAGATATATTCCGGATCGTACAGTGAATACCGTTCTTTAAGAGTTGACCTTCAGTTTCAGTTAAAAGTGCCAGTTTAGAACTTTGACTTTGTCTTTAATCCATTTGGCAATGTCATCAGATTACATATATGGAATCGGAAATGAGGTGCTAACAGTTGCGGTTATTTTTATAATTGGTGTTCTTCCACTGCTTGTCTTTGCCGTACGAAAAATAGATTGGAGGTAAGCTTTATAGGTTCAATCCTAACCTAGCCATTATGCTTGTAACCGTCCACGCCTAGATTGTTGGATACGACCACTTGTCAGAACAGTCTTCTGACAGTAATTGGTTTTCATATTCAGAGAATATTTGGTGTTAATTATATTCTCACATTTTTGAAGACTTATAAACATTTTCTCCAACGTCAATGTATAATGAAGGTCATTGTCTTGTGGGTTGTACTGAATATTTGAGGAATATTACATGCATTTCAGAGGTTCTTGTGACAAAGCATCCCAAAAGACAGTCATCTTCATACTTGTTGCCATGAGAACCTGATATCTCACCTTGTTATGTAATGTTTTGTGCTTTTGCTTTGTGTTCAGATGGTACTGTATCAGGTTCGTTAAAATCTTAGAGAAATCATGTGGGAGGGTATGAGCTGCATTCATCTGGCTCAGGGTAGGGATCTGTGGCAGACTGCCATAAATGTAATGAGGAACCTTCATATTCTATAAAATGTAGGGACTTTCTTGACTATCTGAGTGAGTATTAGCTCCTGCAGAAGGAGTCTGTTAGATAATAAAGTAATGCATCTGGATTGTAAATGACTTCAGGACTATTCTCTGTTTATTTATTTTTATAACTGGAAGAGTGTGGAATGACTTTCACTTCTCTTTCTGCAGCGGTCTGTTGAACTCACTTGGGACACATAACTGGTGGATATTTTCTGATCAGCATAATGGCCCTCCACCTACTGTTACAAACATTCAAGAGATTGGAAATCACATTGAAAATGTTCAGCCTGGTAAGGCATTCATAATTTTTTATTCCACGTTTTAAACATATTTTCCATTCAGCTTTTATTAACAAGGTCAGAAGTTATGATTAAATTTTAAATCTGTAATGTTTTTTATTGCATGATTTTCTGTATGTTAATTATATGCTATGTTTCTTACTGAGTATTCAAATTTAAGCATTCTTTACATGAACTTGAAAATTAAGAATGCCATTTATGTATGTCTTAAAGAAAGGACTTTATTAAAAAAATTCCCAGAAATGTCTTTTAAATACCACTGGCCATGTAGAAACAGAACTGGAGGCTATGACCCTAGACTGTTCTGTGCCATGTTTTCTTAGGTTTGACGACTGGTAAAAACTTTTCCTTAGGTCATTTTTGCATTAGTCAGATCTTAGGTCATTGTTGTACAAGGGTGTGTTCCAGCAAGGCTAGGGTCTCGGGCCCATTTTTACACAATTGTGGTTCCCCATCATGCAGACAGACAGACATGGGCACGCCTATAGGTCGTTCTTCGCTCATACTAGAGCATGAAAAATGCCAAGAGAGTAATCCAAGAGAAATATATTTTGATGATCTAAAATAATTTAACCAGTGAACTTCTGTATTAGCAGTCATGCTGCTTTAGGCTAGTAAATCAGTCAGTTTGACTTGTATGCTTGAATAATAATTTCAGTACAAGTGATTTTTAGAGCCAATTTGTCGGTGAAGGTTCATGTGATGTGGGTGTGTGGTACCATACAAAAATCCTCCTAACCCTTCAATACTTCTGATATTTTGTACCTTTCAGTACTTTTATTATTACGCATGCACTTAAATTTTAAGTTGCACTTTGCACAGAAGAAGGAAAAAGGCTTATAAGTAGTGTGCGTGCTGTTTGACAGGTGTACCTCAAATTCCCAGTCGAACATATAATCCGGAACGCTGTCCAATATGCTTACATGAACATCAGATGGCTCTGGAGACCAACTGTGGGCATCTCTACTGCGGTATGTTCTTTGCTTCAAGTTGTCATACCTTCTTTTCCAACGCACGTCATTAATACATAGCATACATGTATGCCCTTGCCATCTGACTGTAGAAGCTGTTCAGTGTGTGGGTGAAAGTTTGCATATATTTGTTGTCATTCTGTGTGTTAAAATTATATTTGTAAGTTAAATTATTTTGTTACAGGTAAGTTATTTGTATACAGGTTTTAAAGTACATAATGGTATTATAATATACCTATTTGTGTGTAAAAAACCATTGATTTTTTTGAGTAATAGTGAATTCTGACAAGCAGTAGAAATACGTATTAATTTATTCTTTTGATATTTTATGAAATTAAAAATTGAAATAAAGATATTATATTTATGCAGAGAGCTGGATTGTTACTCTGTACATTATATATATATTTATTTATATATTTATATTTATTTATTTTTTCCCTTCTTATTATACATGCTTGAAATCTTGCTAAAGAAAGTTTGTTTAATTTTAGGAAACTGTCTTCGCATGTACATATATATGAATGATGTGATGTCACGCATATCCTGCCCCATGTGTCGCCAACAGGTGGGAGTCACTTTATCTTCTTTAAAAACATTCCTGATCATCAAAAACAGATTGATTACTGAACATGACAAAGAATTAAAGTAACAAATTTTGAAAGTAACTTTCCAGTTATATTCTCAGTGTGAGAGCCGCAGTTGTTTTACTGTTTGCAGATTTCAGTTCTCTTCGTTTGTTTCACGGAGCGAGAATTACAAGCGTCTCCAGCATCAACAGCTGGTGCTCAGATACAGCTTCTGTATCGTATGGTAGAAGAATATAACCGTAGTTTCTCTGGTGCACCTCGCTCGGTATGTATGGAAACTGAAATGAAGAAATATATTTGTGTTTTTATAATTATGTTTGAAGAAATGTGTGCTTGAAAATACAGAATGTATATAACCACTGCTTTTGTTTTGGTGGTACATACTGGTATAAATAGATTAATTTTTTTTTTAATTGTTAGACATAACCTCAAAGTATTGACTATTTCTTTTTGGGGGGGGGAAATCAATCCATGTAACATACCATAAATAACAGTAAACTTAATTTGTTAAAGGAATTTATATTTTATTTAATAAAAGTGAACTTCTATTGCTTTTTAAATAACCCCAAAATTGATTACAGTTCTTTTGCAATGTTAGCTCAAATCTTTGTCTCGCACTTTTAGTCTGAGTTTTACATTAGCCAACACATTTATAAATGAGTTACTAATATTTTATTCTTGTTTGCAGTTTATGGAAATGGTTCGTGATTGTCCAACGCTAATCCGGCATCTTTGGAATGAATTCTTTTCTGTTGGAGGTTTGATGTTAATGTTTAGAGTTAGAATAGTGCTGTGTTTCTTGGCTGGACTGATGTACTTATTTTCACCTTTAGACATCATTCCAGAGGCTGTGTTTGGTGTTTTGGGTTTGTTAGATGACTTATTTGTTGTTTTTCTCTTGGCAATATACATTAGCATCATTTATCGAAGATCGGTGGTGAGTCGGACGATGACCATGTGATGAAGCTACCTCTGTTATTTAAGAGATAAAACACCTGTGATATTGAGATTAATTTGTATATTCTAATCATTTTATCTTATGGTATCTTAATGTGTAGGACATGAAAATGCTCCTTATACCATTTGGTCAGTTGAATCTTTGTTGTCTCAGCATTATTTTCCTTATTGTAAGAGGATAGGAATGTTACTATGTTTGCCAGCGATTCTAAACAGAGCAAGATTGATATATACGCAAGATGTGTTGAATTCCAGTAAACGCCTAAGAGTTACTGTGTACTAAGCTTTCATATAAATTAATTTGTGTATACAGAGTGATTCAAAAGGTTAGGGCCAATCTGAAGGATCATATAGAGGTACTCAGAGAGAACGACTTTCGAATAGGAATCCATGTCCTCCGAAGTTATCCTGAGTCAGCCGAGGCCATTGAAGGTAGGGACGTCTGATAACATACCGCGGAGATAATCGTACTTTGCTATTCTCCTACTAGCTTAATTTTGAATGACACGTATCCCGTCAGATTCTACAGTGACCCCTGGGCTGTTTACATTGTCTTTGTGAGTTGATAGTGACTGGTGTCTTGCTACTTTTGTAATCTTTTTACATTCACTGCTATGTCAAATGGAACGATACATTTTTGCAGAACTCAGGGATATGCACATGTGGAGGACGCCATTTTGAACACTTATTGTAAATTCAGCTTGTAAGATTGCTAATGTAATCCTTGTACATTAATAAAAAACAAAATTAAGCTGTTAGGAGAATAGCAGAGTACGATTATTTCAGCAGCATGTTATCAGACGTCAATGGCCTCGACTGACTCAGGATAACTTCGGAGGACATGGATTCCTATTCGAAAGTTGTTCTCTCTGAGTCCCTCTATACACTCCTTCAGTTTGGCCCTAAGCTTTTTAATCACCCTGTATATATATATAAAATTACTGATATGTGTGCATTGCACACAATTTTGCTGTAATGATTTGTGTAACAAATATTGCAAAGGATGAGATACAGTTACTTTGTAATGATTAAATTATAATGTGTAATAGGTTGTCTGCACATATGATATATACACATTAATTTCTGTGTATTTTAATCTTACAGTTTATTAATAAAAGTTGTGTATTTAATAAAATTAATTTTGATACATTTGCACAAATTCATTGAGTGTTGGCAGTTGTCACTCTTGTCTTAATATTTATATATTTTCTTTCTACTTGTCCCAGTATAATTTTCAACCAGTAAGATAAATCTACCAAGTTACTAATTATAATTAATCTTCTGTATATCGTTAGGAATAAGGGATGTGTGGTATGACCGAGGGTTGTTATTTATCATGACATAAGGTTTCATGCTGTTGGCTTCATGCGTATTTAAGAACATTTAATAAATACTGTTAAATCTTATAGAAGCTATTTACTTTATAAATAAAAGTGACAATGTCATGTTACAATCGTACACTTTCAGCACCTATTGGAGAATGTGACAGCTTTAGTTACGAAAACAGCAGGGTTTCCACTGTACAATTTTGTATAGTTGTACAATTACAGAATAATAAGGCAAATATTTCCTGCTAGTTTGAAATTCTAGAAGCTCGAAGTTAATAATTTGAAAAACATGGAATGATGACGTTTAAGACTAATAATATAAAGTGATTGATTTTGGTGATGGTGTTGGTAATTAGTTGTGAATGTTAAAAGTTTTCGTAGCATCCCTAGTAATTCTGAGATATTTTCCTGGAAGACTGCAGAAGTCAGAATGGTAGGTTATAGTTGTTCGTTATCTTTAAAGAGTTAGAAAAACCAAGGGACATCAGAACAGGCATATGTAAAATTCTGTTTATTTATTTTTTTCTTCTAGAACAGAGCAGTTGATGTTGAAAGACCATAAATGTAACTTAGACATAATTAATTTTAAAGATATATATATATTTAAAGTTCTGCATTCGGATGTGTACGTTATGTAATTTGAAGAAGACTGTCATAATTCTAAACGTAAACTGAGCCTTGTCAAATGACAGGTGGTTGGTCATAGATGATGATCCTTCTGCTTTCCCTGTTATTTATAAGCTTATTTCTTCGCCTCCTGAACAATTTTTTCTTATATCCTTTCTTACAGTGTAGTATTAAATTGAAATAATCCTTTTATATACCAAGCACGTATGTGTTTCTATTAAAGACCAAAATGCATATGTTTATATAATAAGACAAAATGGTTAATTTGGTTTGTATATAGACGGATTATTTGCAAGAAATATTTTAATTTTTAATTGACTATTAAACAATGAATACTAGGGATATTGTGTTTATAAGAATAATTTGAAATAGGTTTTAAATTAAAAATAATTGTGTTTGCTGGAAAAGTTGGCTCTCATTTCACATGCATCTTAGCCAAGTTCAGTAGAGAGCTGATTTTATTTGATGTATTAATATGAACTGCGTTGTGCTGGACTGTTCTTCCATTCATCCAATAGGAGTCGAGTATAAAATTTTTGCACATGAACCGCACATTGTGATTCCTGCTACCTCTTGATCATAGCTAATGACACATGCTGGCATGATTTGTTTTTACTTAAAATGTAAATCATTGAAAATGTTTTAAATATCAACATGCTACCTGAGAGTTGACATTGACGGTCATCAACCCAGACATATATTGTTGACTTAAAAAGATTTCCAATGCTAAATTATATAATAATATCAACATGTATCCTACAAATGCACATACATATCTTAAATCCTAACAATTATAAAATGGATTACTAATTACTATATGTCTTTATTCTAGAGCAGGAGATATTTAAAATGTGTTACTACAATATACAATACACATTAATAATAACTTTGATGTGTAAGTGCAGAAAAAAGAATAGAACCTCAAAACATTATTCCCAAAATAAGCACCTTATAAGAAAGATCACAAGTACACTGAGAGAGAATAAGTTATACCAACGGTTATCAGTGTTTGGAGTTGTAAGGCAGTGTTTCCACGTGAGTGAAGCTGATTTTTATTTTACACACAGGAACTAGTCCAAGATTTACACCAGAAGACATTTTTCTTTAATTTTGTTATTATGTAGACCTGTGTAGAAATAATGTATAAAAATCTTGGCAATCATTGTACTTGCCAGGGTACAAATTAAGTACACCCATGTCAGTAAAACAAGACTGTTATGTACTTAAAACTGGTCAGGGCTGAAATGGAGAGAATCAGATGTTGACTTTCTGGTGAAGTTGACCTGCTTGAGACACGGCAATGCTTCTGAGGCTGCGGGACCGCTCAAACAGGGATGGATCTGTGTAGATGGGCTCGCTGGGGTCGTCAAAAGTTCGGCCGTTTGTGATTGTCGAGACGATGGACGTGTCACCATCGTGAGGTTCTGTGATGCAACGTGGTGATCTTAGAATGCTTGAAGAGAAACTGTTGAAATTTGGTATAAGTTTTTTTTTTACACCTGTGCAGATAGTGGTTTATTGCAGTTGTGGAAAAATCATTTCAGCAAATATACTATTCTGTTTGCATACCATTAAATAATTAGGTATGTAATTAATTACTTGGTTAACAATTTGGGCAACTGGAAGGCAAATAAATGTATAGACTGAAAGAAAAAGTCACACTTGAACATTTGGCTTTGAGTACACCACAAAACGTGAAGAACGTATTTCTTATTCTTCTGTGTGGGATATTTTTAAAGCATTTCTTAAATTCGAACTTTATTAGCAAGTTGTAAAGTGTGTTTATTATAAATTTTATCAGTCGGTTTCAGGAGTTGATGTGTGAGGCCTGGTCAGTAAGGTATGTGATGCGCGTACTTGGACAAAAGTGCAGGAAATCAAATTCCATGCTACAGAACTTGACGTTTACACACTTTAAAGTATCAAGATGACATTGATCAGCAACAGAATTTGTGATGACCAGAATAAATAGTAAGTATTCGGTAAATTATCTTTTTGATGGTTAAATTGGTCCATGTGTGATGCACTACTAACCTTGTCTCAAATGCTTTTCGTACTCCAGGCATGAGGAACGAATAGTTGTTGTTCGTGCTGGGTGGGTATGGCCCAGACGCTGGAGACGGAGCTGTGCTGTCAGCTGCTTTATTTTTCGTCTCTACTGACCAGTATCGTCTACAATCACAGAAGAATTTCACTGTTACAGAGCGCCACACTAGAAGGTGATACATTTCTGAATTTGGAGGTAAGGTGCTTGAAGTGTTTTGCTTATTTAATTATAATGCTTTAAGTGTTATTTTAAACAGTGCGGTGAATGTTTATGAGTCTTTGTAAGTGCAAATTGAAAGGAGGAAGTAAAACTGAATGCTTAACTTTACCGGTAGCATATTCCAGCAAAAGCAGTGATTATAATCAGCATAATCAGTATGATGATAACTGCTGATATTAGGCCATAATATTCTGCGTGTGTGAGGCAGACAGTCTCAGTGATAGGTTCCACCTTCTCTTCTTGCAGAAAATCATGTCGAGATTCAAAGACCTGAAATATTGTTAATGTTTCTGTAAATTACTAACTATATTGATTACATGGAGCAGAGTCCTTTTTGAGAAGCTAACACTCAGCTAGTTCAAAAATCCCCCACCATTTATGGAACCTGAATGTTCATTACGTGTGCACTCAAATGTTTCTGGTACTGCACAACCACTGCTTGTTTCCTGTCAAACCTCACCAACTGTTCTGACTGCAATAGTCACAATTTTACTGTAACTGAGAGTCAAGCATGTGAGTGAGTGCAAGTGCTCTATAAGCGAGAAACAGAACTTTGCGGGTTCCTGAACATTTCACCAAAATCCCTTTGATTATGTGTCTCAAAGTAAATGACATTAAAATTTAAAACTAGGGGGCTCCTTTTCACTGACCTTTCATTGTATCAGGTTGTGTGTTTTTGAATCTTGACATCTACATATTCAATATTAGCATAGCTTCGTATTATTACCTCGTGGGAAGAAGTTCTTTCCCTCTTTTTTCTTATCTCACCTCTATCATTTCTCGAACTTGTTCCTCATCCTCTGTGCTGTTTTTCGCTTCATTCTGCTCCTCTATCTGCTCTGTTTCATTAACATCTCTCTTCTTCCTTCCGTATGATGGTTCGTTACGGCCTGCGTGTCCCGTGCAGTACGCCTGTGAATGAATGATGTATAATTTACAAGTTAATGAAATTGCAGAATGCCTCGTGCATCATGTTTAATTTAATTCAGGATTTAACCTCTTTCATTGCAATATATTACAGCGTTTATTTTGGTGGATAAATGTCATTTCATTAAATAAATTAACGGCATTTATAATTCATTTTACAACTCTCATTGTTGACCAGCAATATCATTGTTATGTAAACCAGAACTCACTGGCTGACATCCATCCCGGCATGTTCGTACTGTTGCTTCAAACACCAAAAAGTTTGATTCGGGTATTTTGAAGGCATTAAACCTGGCCTCCAGACCATCCCCAGATCTTGAGCGATCAAGTCCTGGGAACACGTAGTTGTCTACAGGACATCTGAAACCATAGTGTGAAAGGACATCTCTCTATAATATTCTTAATTTATAAGAATATATTTTAACACTTACGTTGTAAGTGTGAACATTCTCATGTTAACAATACACAAATTAATGTAAGTGTGTTTTCACTGGCAAACAGCACCATGATACAAGTACACTGGAACAACATAGTTGTCTCTTGGAAACCGAATGCTCCAGTAACACATTCTATCGTGAATGGCTATGGTTCCTAAGCTGTATACTTGTGTCGATTACTACTGACAGTGGTTGAACCACACTTAGGGTTGCCACCTCAAAGCCGTGTTCAAGTCCTGCAAATTTTATTTTGATGCTTTATGTCATCAGGTTTATATACAGGATGTTTCTAAATGATGGTTAGCTTCAGGATGTAAATACTGATGAAGAAGGTCCAGTGAATATAGATCTGGTTCTGTTGAATCATACTTTTACAAGTCTACCTCACTTTTTCAGACTTTGTAGTTATTAAGGCTTCCCTTGCTCAGTTAAGTTGTCCACATATAAAAGTTAAGTTCATTGTCTTTGAGAACATTTCGTAACATGGTGGAAGAGAGACCATTGGTTAACTGTGATGGATCACGACCTACCCATATCTATCTATGAGCTGCACGGATCGTCCAGAGTACGGATCTCTTGCGATGACATTGGTCGCAAAGATATCAGTTACATAATTGTAACCATCTTGGGCCTCAAGTCGAAAGGTCAGTGGGTCGCCAACTGCTATAGTTGTAGTAGGACGTCCTTGGTACAAGATCAACAGGCGGACCCGCGAACTCAGTGAATTCTCTGCTGGGAGGTATTCAATTGGTATAGGACTTCCAGCTCTAAAAACAAACGCATCACTGCCGTTAGTATTGTCACTTGTAACATTATATTCACCTATGCTATAAATCCACAACATGAGATTTGTTTAAAGCAGTGGTCTCCAGCCAGTGCTCGAGCTATCAGTGCCCATGTCATGTTTATAAGCGATGGAAGCATAGATTCTTGGTTTCTGAGCTTCCAAAATGGAAATGTTTACATTTTTATGCCAAATGAAGTACCATATTTAAAAACCAGGACTTTACTCCATATATACATTCATATATGAACATTCAATTCAAAAAGTAAGTTATATTTTATTTACCTACGTTAGTAACAGCAGTTTTATATCCATTTTTATAATTAAATTAATTTATGTACAAAAGTTAGAAGCTTTAATCATATTGCAATGAATTAATGTAAATTTACACTTTTGGAAACTCGTGAACCAACGTAATAGTTTTGAGACATAAAGTTATCCTGTGTTTGAGGCATGCACTTGTAAGCAGTTTATGTTGCAGCTAATTAGAAGTAATTAATTTAAAACTGTGTATTCAAAATCTACTAGCTTAAAGAAAGCATAAACTGGGATGCTTAATAACTTCAGCTGGATAACCTAAAGACCGCTGGGTTAATTCAGATCATGCTGTGGGCATGCAGGTATTTTGCTGATATGCGTCTTAATAAAATACTTTGTTGCTTGTAAGTGGGGAAGCAGAGATGATGGTGGTGGTACAACTGCCTCCAAACCTGATGTCTGTGGATTCAAATCCTGGTGGTGGTACATGGGATTTTTTCCCCTGCCTTGTGGCTGTCTTCGGTTTACCCAGCATCAGTGGGAACCTGGGGAATTTGAAGGAGGTGCCCCCTTGTGTGCTGTTTCATTGTTCTGTGTTCTATTGCTCTATTATCAGTCTTTACTAACATACTTTATGAGCTCAGACAAAGATGGTGAGTACAGGAAATATTAAGATTATTGTTAAAAGCTGTGGCTTACCCTGCACCAATGTAATCTGACGTGACTACAGCCTCTCCTGGTCCTCGGAACAAACATGTCAGATTGTATCGCTTGTCTCTTCCAGTCTGTACGTAATCGCTGAACTGCACCACTACAATGTTGGTCATTGTATCTCCGTACTGTGCATACACAGGAAGCACATCACAATAACACTTTATGCAGATGCTTTGCGTGTGTGTTTAACTACTTATACTCTTTATTTGATGCATGTATAAATCATAATAATGTGATGATGTCTGTATAGTGAATGAAATCTGCTTATGAATAGGGAAGAAACAGTTATGTTTAACCCTTTGATGATAAAAATATTGCAATACATGTCTCAGTGGTATGTTAAGTTTGAATGTTCCGTGCGTTTTTATCTACATGGAATTAAAAGCCTAGCTACTTAGACTTTTGATTTTCGTGGTGGTGAGTTTGGTGCATCGTGTAGTCTGGCAGAAGTTTACTGACATTTCATAGATGCTTGCTGTACTCGCTTCAGAAATGTCTGTAAACTTCTACCAATCACCCAGGAGACAGCCATCTTTATCCATCTAACTCCTTGTTTCTGCACCTCTTTTAGTTAAAACTGTCATATTTTTGTAACTATTTAAGATATGAAGATATCCGTCTTCTGGGTTAGATATGTAAAAACATTTGAAAGCATTTTGAATATTTAACAACATGTTAGATGTTTATATAAAGCCATTGCTTTTTTATGCATATGACTTGGTGCTGAAGGATTTTACTTCATATCCTGTGCCTTGAATTGCTAATAAAAAACACAAAAATATCTGTCATGGTAGCTGATCTTTGGTCATATTTGATTAAATTACATACCCTTTGTGTGCCACATTCAGGATAACCTTGTGCACCGCTAATCCTCAGTACGTTTGCCGTTCCTCCATTTCCACGGAAGAAACAACGGTCGTAGTATCCATATGTGTAAATCCGCCCAATGAAACCTTCTGGAGTACGTAATGTAAACTCCATACCATCTTCGTTACATGACTGGCTCACTGAAAGTGTTTTCCTTATTGAATGAGTATCATTTGTCTTAACATACTTATAATTGTTTAATTTGTTATCATGAATGCAGTGGTTCTTAACCTAGGAGGTATAATTCTATATATTTAAGGGTGTAATGAACTGGTCAGCTACACACTTCTGACAACTAGAATAAAATAGCAGGAAAAATATTTATTTAATAAAACCTAATGAATTGAATTGAATTGAATTATTGTTACTTTGAAAGTGATGCAGTAGCAATGAGCATTGCAGCACAATTTGATCTCACTTAGAAACATGATAAGTCCTGTTACTTTCGAGCTCTTACTGAACCACTGGCAACCCGAATGAAAGTTAAGTTTCAGTTCAGTCTTGGTAGTGAAATATAATAGTTAATATTTACGTTGAACACAATTTTTACTTTAGGTAAGTCAATATTTATTAACATTGAATTTAATTTTGGATTCATTATACGTTAATGTTTGGACTTCTCCATTCAGATTTTAAAAGAGAACAGCAAATGTTTCGTTACTTAATTCCAACATAAAATTACAAACAAAAGTAGCATGCTTTAATTTATAATTTAAATTAAATTTAAATGATGGCAACTTAATTACTGACTTATAGTGTAACATACTGTGATATAATTTATAATTCAGGTTATAATCAGTAAAATATTAATTTTCTTTTTGATTTCAAGGTTTATAATTTTAGATTTGAAGTGCTTGGAATCAAGACAACCAAGTGACTTTGTTCCCTACCTTACTGGTCACCCTGATGATGTAGGAGGAAAACACCTCTAAAACGTCAGTCAACCTATACAAGCCTGCATGGTGCAATATTCCAGATCCATAAATAATTTGTACAGGAAGATATTGAATATAAAGTAAAGGTAAGCATGTTAAAATCCTCTAATTTTGAATCAACTGGTAAGTTCCTGTAGACAAATGAAGTTGTACTTCTTTTTGAACTGCTGAATGTAAAAAACCTCATACAATCAGAAAGATCTTGTCAGACAGTGACTGGTTGAAACAGGCTTGTTCTTAGGGAGAAACATGCGCTTAATAATTGGATGAGTTGTCGCTTTGAAACTGCAGTCTGAAAGGAGCATTTTTTAGATGAATGAAGACATTTTGGATTGAGTAGTTACAGGGATGAAAGCTAGTCCATGCTTTGCACTTCAGCCGAATGAATCTGCAGGTGCTGCATACATAAATGGTGACTGTGAAAGAGGAATTTTTCCTGTTCTGTAAATTGCTAGAATCATTTCTTCATCTGCACGGGGTTAGAATGGACAAAGTTAATTGGTATTTGCACTGATGGAGCGCCAGTCTTAAACCAAGTCTTGCAGCTTTGAGAAGTATCATTGTTCTTTGAAACAGAGGAATTTGCTAAAGAAATTTTTAGGAACGTGATGATAATTTAAATAATAACTGTTGGATGCTACATATGACAATTAGGAGGAAATAATTGAAGATGTGAAGTTCTCACCATCAAGGCATTCCCCTGTATTACGGCCTCCAAATCTCTCATAGAAGTCGTAATCTCCCGTGGTCTCAAAGTAAGATGGATTGTTGATGTCCAGGTCATGCGAGTCTCGGTCACTCAGTTCACAATTTTCTCTTTCCGACCCATACGGAACTGAGTAACCCCTTGGATAAACAATAACAGTTTGCGTTATATCATTTAATGTATACTGAAGTAATAATATAGATTATGAGTTAGTTACTTGTATACTTCATATTACATTTATGTCATTAAATTACAGTATATATAACTGCAGATAACTAGGTGAAAATTTTTGCATTTCATATTAGTTGCAAATGAACGTGTATAGTTAAGATCCAAAATACCTGTAATTGGCAATTCATATTAGTTACAAATTAATGTGTGTAGTTAAGATCCAAAATACCTGTAATTGAAGGAACGACAACTAAACTCCCGATTATCTGCACACTCTTGCTCACAAAGCCGCAATGTTGGGACAGATGAGAAGCGTCGAACAAACTGCCGTCTCAACCGGAGACGGACACCCACCTAAAACAAAAAATCACTTTGTGTAGGTATTCCATACTAAATTTTAAGATAAATGATCATTGTGAATAGTGTTCTAATAATGGGCAGGGAATAAGAGATGAAATATACAAGAATCATCATTTAAACAAACGTATGTAAATTAAAATTTATCATGTAGGAATAGGTGATGTAATCCCCTGTACAATGAGGCTGCTAGTCAGACTTTGGTGTTAATAGTTAATGGCAAGCTAGCGTGATGCTTGTCTGGCTAGACTGAATAAGCAGAGATACATGGTGGATAAAGGTTAATCATAGAATATTGAAATTCAAGAGATATAAAATATACTTAATAAGACTGGTATGAACAGATATGAACGGCATTAACATTTTGCAGAAGAAACTGATTAGCACACACAAATTTAATCAAGTTTAAGAGCTGTAAGTAAATTTAACACATCCACCAACTATACTTGAATATTTTAAACATCCCATTTTCAATTTGCTGCATTTAGAAGTCTCTGTGTACAAGTGTGTACATGTGCTCTAAATGGGGTACGTGTTCACAGTGATTTCTCAATCACTTCCAACACTTTTTCTTACAGGTGCGCAATGACTTTTGAATCACTCTGTAATTCAATGAACACAAATCACTGTCCAATGACAAAAAGAGTTCTTGACATTTTGCTTCCATACCTGCCTAAAATTGTCGCCTTCATCACACCTTGAGAACGGTCTGCTAGGTCCCCCTGCTCCTCCTCCGTAGAAGCTGTCCCCTCCATGCGCGCCTCCTGCACTACTCCCATATCCAGATCCACCGTATGTGCCATGGCCACTGCTTCCTCCATATCCTCCTCCTCCTCCTCCATATCCTCCTCCTCCTCCTCCATACCCTCCTCCTCCTCCTCCATACCCTCCCCCACCATGACCACCATAGGCACTCCCACCATATGACCCATAGCTGCTGCCTCCTGGGTGTCCACCCCCTCCAGGTCCATATGTCCACCGCCCCCACCTCCAGCCCCACCATAGCCACCACTTCCTCCATAGCTGCTGCTGGCACCATAACTACCACTTCCTCCACCTGAACATAACAGAAAACAGAACATTATTAAAAAAATGTGGACCTATTTCAGAAACCTTGAAAATCGAACATGAGTCTAAATCCATATTGTTTAATGAAGTAAAAGCATTGTAAATGTATTTTTCATACCCCTTGTCACCACTCAAAATCCTTGTATTTTATTGTGATGACATAATTTCATTTAAATGTAGCATTGCAACCCAAAATTAAGTACAGTACAGAAATTACAACGTTGTTCATTTCCAATGGTGTCACTATATTTTTTAAAGTGCTGTCACCATCACACACCACATTCACAATTTTATATTCTCTTGTTACACCTTTTTTCAGTTCTGTAATGGAGCATCCTGTTGTGTTTAACATTAATTTTCTTCGAAATACTGTCAATATCACAACACACAGTGAATTAAACATAAAAGTGTCATACTGTAAATTTTCAGTGTTCATTTTGGCTATTTTATTTATTGAAATACAAATTTATCAAAAATGTGCAGTGGGAAGAAAATGAGACCTCTGAAACATCAAAAAATGTCTAAGAGACTACGTGGCATTTTCTGTGTTTTTCAACCAAGGCTATATGCATTACAATGAAAGATGCGTTCTACAAGCATATTTTACTGTAGTGGATTTTACTTATCGAAGAATTAACAGTTTCAGAGGATGAAAAATTAGAATGTGTCGACATATTTTTATTAAAACTCCCTGATATTAAATTTCATAACAATCCATTCAGCTATTCTGAAGTCTTTGTATATGTATGGATGGGTCGTTACAAATGGTCTACAAAGGCGTGAATACAGCTACACCCGAAGCGATATATTTTATATGGAGTAATTTTGTTTAACTTTATTAGCCGTGTGTCACAGCCTGCGTGTGGTCCAGCTAGCCATGTGTTGCATTTGCATACTTCTACTCTTAACCCCCTGCAGAGTTCAAATGTGCCCAGTGGCCCCATAGAATGGGGATTACATCTCACATTCCCACATGATAAAAGGTTAATTAAAATGGAAGATCTTATATACTTTAATACGTAAGTGACGCCTGACACCTGAGGGTTACCATACCTAAGCTACTGTGTGAAGGCCGCTCATGACCATGACCTTGATGATTGGAATCTTGCCCCAAATGGTCGGGACGATAATTTGTTCCTTCCCCATCTACATAGCGAGCTAGAAAAAATGAATAAGTGTGATATGTGCACAGATAATTAAGAAAGCACATTAATTGCTTTCTAATTTGTATTTGAAATGTTAACAGCAGGATTTTTCTACAGATCATGCATTGGAAATTTCATTCTAGTCTTATTTTTATTACAGATCCCTTTATGACTTAGTAAGATTTGAGGTTACCGTGGCAGGGAGTACAAAGATCGCTGTGATATGGGTTGTTGTGCCGTGTAGTACAGTAGCAAAAGATGAGAGTTAACTGTTTGTTATAGCCAGCAGAACTGAAGGTTGTGACAGCTGTGAGAAAAATAATTACAATTTTGCCTCATACAGCAGTTGCTTCCATTACATATAACATGTACGTCAAGTCTGGGAAGAATATATAAAGGAATTGTTTCAGGAATTTCAAGTCGAAGTACTTCCTTCTTCACCTGCAAATACCCATTATATCAGACATAAGTTCTCTGTTATGTGTGTTACTAGAGTCCTTATGATAGTAGGTTTTTTTTTCACTCATTTAAATCAACATACACTCTAACTCCGTCTGTTGCAAAATTACTATATTTCTTAAATGACAGATGTTTGTAATGGTGACTTGCGTATAACTATAATGAAGGAACCAAACAACATACATGCATATATTATGTATGACCCAGATGTTCCCAGAATAAATTTTATAGACCTGTGTGACAATCTGGGAGATTTGGTGGCCACAAAACCTTTCCTCAGACTCATTCTTGACAACCTGATTTTTTTTCTTTTCTAAAAGGCATAAATGAAATGTTACCTCATTATATATTTATGAAATTATGAATGTGTGTCAGTGAAAAGTTATTGGCTGAAATTGTGTGGGTACTGTATATAGTCTGTTTAACGAGCTGTTTCGAGAAATCTGACAGAACTGTTTTTGAGCATGTGAAGCATCTCTGTATATGGAATTTCCCCTCCTGCCACTTCACTAATTTGTTGTGTCATTAATAATGCAGAACCATTCCAGACAGTTAAAAATGAGATGGTGGCAACCATACACAAACTGATGGAGACAGCAGTTATAAAAATGATATAGCTATTTCAAGCCAAGATCTTTAACTACTGTTTTTCACATCAAAATTATGCATCTTAGAGCCAAAACGAAGCTTTAACTCGTATACAACATGCTGATTTCAGATGCCTATGTCTGTTGTTACTTACTCATTAGGTTTTCATAATAATCATAATCTGCATCATAGATGATACGGAAACCGTCGCGCTGATTGTAACGACTTAGTCGACATGTGCGAAAACGATCACTGTACACAGCTGAGCGACACTGGAAACTTGCTTGACGTAGACATTCATCTAAACATTCACTCAATGTACGTCCGGTGATTTCTGAATGAAATTCTCCTCCCAGACGGCTGTTACGGTAACGTTGGAAGGCTGTGTCTGGACGTCGGCCATCGGCAAATAAGTGGGATGTTATAGAGTTGTCAGGGAATTCACTGCCTTGTGCTGTAAACAGTATCAGAGTTTCAAGAAATGATGAACCTGTTGCATATTGTTGTAAGTGGAGATTGTAAAAGTGTGCACATATAACCACCGCCCAGAATTAATACTTAAAATTTTCAAATAGAAATGTTTGTATTAATAAACAAAATATTGAGTAATTTTTTCTGTTATTGTTATACTGAAGAAAATTATACAGAGAAGTTAATGTTAATCCATATCATTAGAAACATTGCTGAAATGTTTTGCAAGGTGCAGAAAGAGTAGTTTTCACACAGATGAATTTTTGTGCTGAGCCGTTTGTATCATTACAACTAGTATTTGTCATTTTCTGAACTTTGTCAGTCATCTAGTGTTCAGTGATTGAGGTTAGGTTTTTCTAACTGACCCAGCTGGGTTGTTTCTCCCTACCTTCTAACTCGTTCCTGAAATGTTTTCTGTTCAGAATAGCAAGTGATGGTTGAAGTCTGAAAACCTAACCTGGTAATACTCGGAATACTTACGATTATCCAAGCACACTAGGTCATACAAGTGATGTGTAGAGCTACTGCTTGTGCGTAAGTCATCCTTTTGAGACACTGAGTCTTCCTCAGATAAAATACATAAACGAGTTTGCTCATCATATTCAATTGATCGACAGAAGTACCTGGTAATGGATAAAGAGATTTGATTTCTTTTACTTCAGTTCTTATGTGTATTGATTCTGACATAGACAACGTACGTAAGGGTTCTGTTTTACAAACCCTTACATACATAAAATTTTACATATGAAAGAATTTACCATAAATGCATATTCCTGTCATATAAAATTTGATGGTAATTCTACAGATAGTAAATATAATTTAACATTGACATTGTATCTAACATATCTTAATTCAGAGCCATAGCCTTTTAAAGAACATTGATGCAATAGCAAATAGTTTTATTGAAAATGTCGTGGAATAACTTGTTAAAAATGTATTTTCAGAGGATTTTACATGCAGCTGTATTTGCTTTGCATAAGCGAGTCTTGTGTATCTCAGAGGGGCTCTGTGCGCAGAAATCAAATTCAGAAACAACAGTGTGGTTTTGTTACATTTCTTGTGCTGTATCCATAATTAAGACATTTACTCCAGCCACGATTTGTTTTTATTATCTTGTTCTCAGAAATCTGGTTATAAACAATATTCTAAAACAATATTTTGATGTGCACATGAATGTTCAGACATGTGTGAACATATGTACATATTCAAGGATTAATTTTTTCTTACTTCTCAGCTTGAAGACACTGAGCTTGGCAATCTTCTAATGTTTTATTGTTGTACAAGTCCACTTCAAATGGTCCTCCGAGCCTTTTATTCTCTTCCTTGACAAACACCGCAAGACCATCACATCGTCTTTCCGCTGCAAGATGAATAAACCTTAATTGGCATTATCAAAGTTAGTTATTGGCTTCTTGCTGTTGGCAAACACCTAAATAAATTAATTGAATTGAATATTGTAAAATATTATATATTATAAAACCTTCATTACTAGTGAAATGTCACTGGAAAAGGCCAATATGATTTCTAGTCACACCCAAGTGAAAACGAAGAACACCTTACAGGCCTGTCCTGTCCCTTCTACAAAATTGCACTGCATGCAGGTATCTCCGTCATGCATTTAGTACTGGTGTGCATTCAATAATCGAACAAAGTTAATCATTAAAATTTGTTAATAGCAATAAATTATTATATCCATTATATTTACAAATTGTGATCACTGTTACTCATATGAAATCTGTTAATATTAACATGGTTGATTACGTGAAATTTTGAACATCGTAAATCTGAATATTGGACATTAGATCGAAACAAGAATCTTTTCCTTATTGTTACGGAACATGCCGTGTATTTACTTGGAGGATTACAACTCTAAATCCCATTGCCACTTTACATCTGGTCAGAATTTATAAATCACAGTAAAGGCCTGTTTATATGGTAACTTTAGAGACAATACCGTTCAGACAAGTGTTTTCCAAGTAGTCACAATTTGGGTCATCATCTAGGAGCTCGGGATGTGTGCGTCGAGTGAAGCGACTTAGTGAACACGTATGCGCTGCTGCATCATAAGAAGCAGAACGACACACAAAACTGAACTCGTTCAAACATCTGGAACAATAATATGACATGCTTTTTAATATGCGATTAGGCGAGGTATTTAAAAAAATATGTAAATTTTCTTGTAAATATGTCTCTGTGCTGAATTCCACAATTGCATCATAACTAGGCTTTGTCGGACATACGGGATGATGTATGCATACATGTGCGTGTGTTTATTTTTATGTTTAAAGCGTGTGTTGGTTACTCTAAAGTCGTCGGATTTACAGAAGTCTGTTCTGAGCTTTCCATTGTTCTTACAAACTGGCTGTACATTTTCTTCCATAAAATTTGTTATTTGGACACTGGTCATTTGGGAATTTAAATATTCCATGAGTAATAAAAAGTCAGTTTTGTTTATTGCGTCATGTACTGTTTGCAGTTCTTGGTAAAGTATTGGAAATTTTTCCGTGTTTTCAAAAGGTGCATTTCTCTGCTGACTTGGCTTAATGTAACAATTTGATCTGAAATCCAAGCTTGTGAGATGTTTTCTTAATGACATTCAACTGTTACAGCTGCACCCGATTGCCTTCACCATCACTAAGGAGTCCTGTGAACCCGCCACCGCCTGAATCGTGGGATGAGGCCCTTGCCATATCAAGTCAGTGAGGCCTGGAGCTTCGATCTCATGAGGCAGGGTCGCTATGCCTCGTAGTGGGTTACGCCATAATGGACAATGTTGTAAGCATTAAGAAATTTCAAATTGTTATGATGATTTTGCATAGTAAAATTGTGTTAAGAATTACAACCAAGGAATTATACCTATCATTGAACAACGACATATGGGTTTATTAATAAATATTTAATTTGTACGCCCGTCACTAATGACAAATTATGAGTAACTGCATCGTTGACACTAACCTGTCTTCACAATCACTGCGATTTGTTGCAGTAACTTGCTTCAGATCCATTACAGGAAGCTTAAGTTTCTTTCTTGGGTGACGTTCAAACACGTAGCGTCGATTAGGACACTCTCTTTCCACACGACTTGCTGCAATAAACATGTACACACTAAAAGTGTGACTGTAGGTGTGTTTAATCAGCCATTAAAAATTTGAAAGCCATTAATAATAAAATACTCTTGCAAATATATTAAATGTCTAAACAACTAACTGATTGACTTAGGGGACCCGAAGGTTCATCACTGAATTAATCAGAGCCCTCCACCAGTCCCTGTCCTGGGCTAACTAAATCCAATTAAATGTCAGTAATAAAAATTTAACTGTCCATTGCAGGCATTTAAAAACAAATGCCAAATTGAAACAATGTTTTCTCTTACTCATGTGGAATCCATCATTTTTAAAAGGGCAGGCTTGTTTTTGTGTGTTTCCTGAAGGAAGTGAATGGGGAGAACGCGTTGTGGGCTGATCATGCCCGTCTGTCCATCTGGTTACCGTTGTACCGATGCACTTCGAGCAAAGAATGCATAAATGATGGCAAATTTTAATCAGACATGGAAGGCTTCCAAGATGATAAACAACACAAAAAACCGGTGATAAAATGTGGCGCAAAATCCTGGGACAATGTACATTGCGGAAACGTAAACTGGGAGGATTTACATTGCGATTAGATGGTGCCGATCACAGACCGGGGTACATTTAGGCTATTCGTTTGTTGCTTTGTTAGGTTACATTGTCCATGCATTGCCGATACTATCTTGTCCCGACGCCGCCCACAGAAAAGGGGGGGGGGGTTGAGAAATATTTTTGATTCGTGGTAGCGTCGTCAGCAGTTTTCATTAGTTTGCTTGCTACTACGCAAAGGAAAATTGGTAACCTCAAAATTTTCTAAAATCGAGAATGACAATTCAGCGTTCGTGTATCGATTCGATTTTTATTTCTTTTCGATCACTAGATTCGATAATCGCACATGCCTATTACACTTTTGGCAGGAAGCTGGTTGGCCTAGTTGAGCTGTCCTGTGCTGGTGTTTAGCGTTGTGAAGAAAAACAAGTGTCTTCAAGGAAGATTTTTCTGCCTGAATGAAAGTACTGCTTGCTACTTGGGTAAGTGTGTTCCTACTAATATTTATCAATTTTATTCTGGTCATTGTTTCCAAAATTGAGCATACAACCCAAGAATGTTTTAAATAATTGTTGTACATTCCACATAAATATATAAACTGGTGTTGTATTTTTTGTTTATTTTTGTATTACATGGCCCCATTTAAAATTAGGTACGGACACAATCTATATGAAAGGATACAAAATAACTTTTCTAAATGTTAACATTTGTTTAACGTGCTTGAATTAATGGCTATCAAATTATTTTAATTCAGATCACAGTCTATCATTCTATCATTTAAAGTATGATGTCAGTGAATAAAGCAGTTTCTTAGTACTAACATGATAGGCAGACCTCGGTGAAGTGTACGCTATTCGGGACTAGCACAAGATTTCCAATCCCTTCAGGATGTGCCTGCTCATGTGTGAGATAGCACGTCGACTCTTCGTATTCTGCCGCGCCGCTAAATGATGCAATACGGCTGCCAGGTTGGAAGTCGAATGACGTGCAGGTTCTGACGAGGTTGTTGGTTGCCGTTCTATCGCGAAGGCATAGATCCTGGCATTTCTCTAATACCCGGAATGGAGGCGACGTATCTCTGACCTGTAATTGTCCATCTCGCTAATGATCGCAACTGCACGTAATTGTGTGTATCGGTGCAGATGGGCAGCAGTGCTGGAAGTCAAATTGTGCAATGGAAAGCTGTGCGTTTTAAGCGGTGAATCACTACACGACAAGTGCGTTTTGCATTGCACAAATTAATAGAGTAAATTCGTGTTCTTCATCATAGCAAAGGTAGATACGGAACACTTTTGTTCTTGAATTGTGGTATTCTAGATCAGTGGTATTCAACCTGGGGTACGCGAAGACGTCTTAGGGGGTACGTGAAATTTAAAAAATATATATTATTTTATGATAAACACTGAATAATCAGTAATGTAATTTATTTAATTTATTTTAGATGTAGATTATATACTATGTATAACTTGAATTATACATCAACAACTTTGGGGGTACAAAGTTGAAGATAAATTATATCTGGGGGTACGCGAACAAAAAAGTTTGAATACCACTGTTCTAGATTATGTAGTGTTGTGTTATATGTACCATATTACCGCCATTTTGAGAATAACCATCCACAAGACAAAATGGCGTCTTATCTGAAGTTAATTACAAATAGTTGTATATTATGATATCTGATTTTTTTTTTTTCTTATTTGTTGTAAAGTAGATCGTATTAAACCAAGAGTGGTCATTCTTCGCAGGCCTATGACAGCCTGTTGATCACTTAAAACCCGTGTTCAATTTACATTCTCATTCGTTCATTGCGATACATATTCTGCCTGGTTATGAACTTACCACATCATCGTCAAAGCCCTGTAACTGCTGATCGGGCAAACGTTCATAAACAACTTTGCCAATTCCTTGGTTACATGTCGTCTGAGCTGAAAACACAAATTATGTTGTTAGCGCACCTAAGTTAGCAGGTTTACGTTTTTGGTAACATGACTGAATACTCTATCGGGGGGGAAAGTCTGTACCCAGTTTTAATTGTGGCCCAACAGAGGTTTTCCATGGCCTTGATTATTTTATGAAATTATTTACGCACCTGTCTCAGTACCTGAGAGTAATTTTATTTTTAAAGCTACTCGCTTTTTCGTGCGTCATTACAGATCCTGTCCAAATAAAGTAAAAATTAAGAGTTCGATTTTAAGATGAAAAAAAAATGTACCCGAAATACCGACTGATCTTAAGATATATTCTGAACACACAATAAACTCACAAAAATTTCGTTGTGATGAGAGAATTCCCAGAGCAGCCAAAGTTGGTACCCACATTATCATGTTTAAGAAGACTGAACGCAAACCAAATTTGTCAGAGAGCTTGGACATGTGTTTTTAGAAACGGAAGGCGGCAGTGACCTACTGAACCGACCTTATTATACGTATGCGGGCATAAGGCACGAGGAAATTCTTGGAATATATTTTAATATTCTGCGTTATGGTAGCTTCCGGCACAGTCAATAGGTTAACGACCTTAGCATTTGTTAGGGAGCATTGCCCCCTTTTTTCGAAAACTGTGACGTCATATCGATGTTGATCATCTGGGCTGTAACGTCGTGTGGACTTGCGAGAAAGTACGAAGAAAGAAATGAGAATGACGTCTGTCGTGTGTGTGGAATTCAAATATACTGTGCTTTTTTAACAGCAACCATTTTTATTCAGGGCGCAGGACAACAGAGACATCTGTATGCTGCTGAGATTACTAAGAAATACGTGTTAATCACGCTAATACGCATGCCCGTTACCGTGGGCATGCGCGGATTAAATTAACAGGAATAAAGAATGAAAACACGTTGACATTCTTTTGGGCGTTACATTGTTAGTCAGAAAAGCAGAATCGGCAAAATGAAATCCAAGTGGATCCATTCTGATCTTAATTAAGCCACGACGTCTGCTTCAAAGCGACTCGTTCACACAGCCCTGCGGGACTCCCACTCGAAATTTCAAATACGTAGAAAGTTCGTTGTCATTGTCACTTTCTCAGAGCGATTTCTCATATGGTACTCGATCCTGATAGCTAACTCCTGCGACATATTGGTGTCACGAAGGCACGTGATCCCCGATCTAATCATACGAAAGTCGTGGACGCTCTCCCTGTGAGTAAATACAGCCAGGGCGTGAATCTGACTACTCGCCTCAATATAAATTAGTACAGACTTTAAGAATTCTTGGAGCTATAATACGTCTTCATGTCGCGGTGCTTCGTCAAACACCAGGGAGATATTTGACCTTAATATAGTTCGTAAGTGGACGTGTCCAGGAGGACGATAACCTGGGCACGCCCGCTTTTGTACCAACCGGTAGCATGCCGGATATTCAGTTCCGTTTCCGTTGTAAGTGGAGGTCCCTATCGGCCAGACGGGTAAACAGCGCGGACAGCGACCTACCTGTGCGTATCACCTCGCTCCGAGGCACAGGAAATTTAAAAACTTCATATCCGCTCGCATATGTAACATGATTATTGCCGATCTAGAAGAAAAAAAATTGTATATCGACATATACAGAGTGTCCCACAAACGTCTGTCGAACTTCGGGATGTTATTAATGGCCTTATTTTGAGTTCAAAAATTTTATTACAACCCAGAAGACAGCCATCTTCGGTGTCACCTCCGTGAGAACTTCAGATCCTGTTAACATATCGATGGGCCACAGTTTGATAAATCTTTCTCTGTAACGTCGAAAAAAAAAAGGATGAATTGAAAGGGTGGCCGGCGAGGGAGCTGTTATCGCTTTATTTAATTTGAAGTCCCAAAAAATTCCTTTTGAAGGACGAAGGAAATACGCCGAAACCCTCGAGATTGCTTCGGGTTCGATTATCGACTTCCATACCGGAAGCACGATTGCAAATGCGATATAAGGGTGAATGTGTGCATTCCCATTTTTAAACATATTCTAAGATTATTTCGTACAAATCTGTAACTTTGTCAGTGACTTTGCGCGGTAGCAATAAGACAGTATATGCGGAAGAGATGAGAAATTAGTTGTACACGGTTCTACAAGGTAAGAAAATACTGATGTACAAGATATACTTCCGGTTGATAACAGTTGACACAAGGGCGGCGTATAGTGCGTATAAAGACAGATGGCTGAAGATTTTGACGGAATTTCAATAGATAGAATTAAGGCTTTGACCGGGATGTTCTTTTGTTAAATCTTATGTGGTACCGCCTGATTCGCCTTCTAATGGTTAAGTGAAGTGTTTTCTTCGCGGTACGGTCTGGATTCGTAAATATTATGAAGACGAGCTTCGGCTTCAAAGGGTTAACCAGCTGATTTTCGTAATGGTGAGGTGTAGTGTTTTCTTCGCGGTACGGACTGAATTCATAAATAATATTCAGACGATCTTCGGCTTCAAAGGGTTAAAGAAGGAAAATGAGAAAGCAGAATTCGGTAGGAAGAAGTTGAGAAGAAGATAAATGGTTACAGGAAGAGAATATGGATGATCTGTGGTAGTAGCTCTGTCGTTGCACTCAGAATTTTGATAATCCAAGCTCTACACCTGCGTTTTTTTTTCTTCAGATTTTCCGAACAAAGGTCTTTGTGCATTGTAATTTTTTTCCATTCCATGGCGTATGTTCTGCATGTCGGAACTTTTTTTTGCCATCGTAATAATATTTGGCAACGAGTAAAAAATTATAAAATTCTTTTTCGTGAAATTATTTTGATAAAATGTTTCCCTCAACACGCATTCTTTCCTTAATGTGTTAACTCTAACCTTCCAATTGACTGAGTACTTTGTAATAAACAATCTGACACGCGCTGTTTGCCATGCGAAACCATGAATCATTCAGCGGCACGAGGGGGGGAACTGGAGATAAAAAAAAGCTTTGAAGAAGTCTTTAGCAGGGACCCGTTCGTAACATTCTATTTCTTGTGGCCTTGTCTTTACAAGTCCAAGGCCGCGAAGGGAAGACTTCCTGTCCGCATGAGGAAATGGGACGCAATTCTAAGTTCAGCTGTTTCTTGACAGCTTACAAGCAGACGACTTCACACCCCAGTGTATGTATTTCCGGACACCGACATCTTTTCCGTACCACATTATCGCCTATAGATTGAAAAGATATTGTAATCGTTTTTCGGGAGTGAAGTCGAAAAAGTAATATACAGCAGTAGTTTAGGTTTTATCAAAGTTTTATTCCGTAAGGAATTTAATTCGTAAACATCTGTCGAATATTCTCGCAGTAAAACTGCTGGCATTCTGTCGTATAAAAATATCATTTATTTAGTGTTCTGTCTGACGACAGGTCCATATGAACAGGATCCTTCCATCCTTTTCTCGGACTGGGACCTGTTCATATACGTTCTTGGCAGATGATCCAGAAGTGGTTTGCCATTGCCTTCTTCTGTGTGTGAATGAAGTAATTGTTGGGATGCCACGGAGAAAAACTCCGTGTTGCCTAGACCACCAC